TATTTTGTTGATTACATTTCACGACACAAAACATAACTTTAAATTAGATTCAAAAACACAAAACTCTTATTTCACAAAACAATTACAACTCCGCGAAAACGGAATTCACAAAAGAGTATTTGTTTTCGCATTTGATTTATATTTTGAAACCATATTTTTTTCGTCGAAAACTTTTCTAATGAGAAAAAAGTTTTCTTTTATTTTTTATCTCTAAATCAATGCTAAAATCTTAAGTGTATTTTTCATTTCCCACTGTTTTGCTCGACAGTCAGTCGCGTTTCGCTCGTCTATTAATAAACTTCATAATAATAATCGCTAAACAAATAAATAAATGGCACAGAAGTACACGAGCTCTGGCTTTAGTGGTGTTGTGCTCACTATAGTCAGGATCCTTCTGGTCATTGTCCTCACAGTACTCTTCATAATAAGCGGTTATTATTTTATTATAGCCATCGATGCCATCGGCGACGACATAGACGTGGCTGGAGAGACACACCTGATCCACGATCCGGACGGCCATCACCTCTACGGTGTGACCAACTCTACCCGAAAGGAGGATCACATCACTTCACTTATTGTATGGGTTGTGGTGACAATGATGGCCGCTATCTTCACGGTCGCGGGAGTTATCGGCACCGTTTGGATCAATCCATGTTTGGTAATACACCCGACAGTCACTAAAACAAATACAACTAATACCACAAATTGATCTCAATTTTTAATATGGATTTAGATTTAGAGTTTCAAAACAAATAACAAATATTAATTGCAATAAATATAAGTTACAATTAAATAACACGATTAGTCTTATTATACAATCAGAAATTAACGCCTTATTTGTGCAATAATTAATAAATGGTTTCAATTAATTAACACATTTTCTGTTCGCAAACTAATTGTTTGAATATTTCATTGAAATAGTTTTTATTAATTTTTGTTTCACTTTTAATTAAACATTTCATTAAATGAGATTTTCAATTGCATTTCAGGTACTTTTCAGCTCAACAATGATCCTGGTGTTTGCCTTATCCGGTATATTTCTGCCTGATTTTAATCTAACACTGCCGGAAGTCTCGTCCAACTATTACCTCCTCGGTCTTGAAATAGTAGCCATAGTATTGTCGCTATTGTTTGTGATTATATTGAATCGTTGGGGCGTTAAGAGGAGACCCGCCCGTGAAAAAGGTGTTACTTTTGCATAGATTGTGTCTTTCAAAGCATTTGTTTTATTAAATAATTAAAATTTATTTTTTACTCGTTTTTATATTATTTTGTTAATTACTATGAAATTCATATTTAAAGCAATAAAATATAAATTCCTTGAAATGTTCATTAAGTTGTTGATCAGTGAATTCATTTAAAAACTTGTATTTCATAAGTAGTTATTAAATGTTAAATAGATTTTCAAAAATTAATTTTAATTTCCTTTTTTGTTTATTTATTTATTTAATTTTGTTTAAAATATTATATTTCATATTATGATAAATTATCTTATAAATAATTAAATATTTAAAAAGTCAAACACTTAAGTTGAACACATTTTAATTAAGATAGTTTAAGTGATAATTATTTAAATTTATTTTATAAAATGCCTAAAAGTTTTAGTTTATTTTAGACT